CACAAAAACTTTGTAACTATTAATATGATTAGCTGTAACTAGTTATTATAGTCGAAAAGGAATAACATAACTAATTATTTAGTTCGAACTCATTGCATCTGAATAGGTACTAATTTGTGTTTATATTAAACGTCACTACTGGCCCACACTCGAGTGCCAGGCGTTTATGACCTTATAGGTGGCAGAATAAGAGAGAATAAGAAACATTGATCGAATTAGCAAGGTCGGTACACCCGTGCTGATTGATTACTGGATCAATCATCTACTTTAAAGTGTTAATAAACAGAACGGGGTGAGCTCGTCGTGAGCATTGCGTGTATTTTTGAATATATTATTGTATTTGTTTTTATCCCGACCTACCTCGATGTCAGATTGCGTGGGATGCTTCGGCCTTCTATCTGATTTATGCATTTATAAATAACTTTTATCATATACATAGGCGGCTAACATCCATTTATTAATAATACAATTTATTTTCCGTAATATGCTAACATTATAAACTATCGAATCGCACAATAAATACAAACATCTCGGGTCTCGAATCACTTATGTAATGCGTAATAAATAACGATATTATAATAAAGTTTATTTACATTGACGTCTGTCAGTCATCAATCAACATAGAGGATTTCTTTCATTTCACTAGAGTCGTTGACTTATTGCTTTCTCTGATAGGTCAACTTATGATAACAATGTCATTGTAATTTTATGTACCAAGATTCCACCATACATTCATTATACAACAACAATTACGCCTTATCTTCCTGTCTTAGCATTTTATATTCAAAAGAACCTCGTTGCCGTGGGCCATTGTTGTTCCAACTTCGCATTTGACTAAAGAAAAATAAAAAGTGGAGCAGGCAAAAGCAGCACGACCCTATCGTCCTTAGTTTTTTAGCGGTCTAGGTTTAGTAACGGTATAGCGGGCGTCACATTCGGCACCGACGGCCGCTGTCATTTCGACAACTAATAACCCCCGCTGGAGTTCATAATTTATAAGGCGGTACATGTGACCGCTTTTTACCTCGTCCGCCGTCCACCGCCGCCGTCTGGGAATCTGCAACAAAGACCGATCGAGATTCCGTTTTGCATTCCTCAAGTATTCGTGTGCGACGAACGACTTCGAATTTTATGTTTTGAAATGCGAATTTGCACTGAATCGATCACTAAGAAAGTCGCGTCCAGTAAATCGTATTAATTATCCTTGACTGGATTCCCACGGTTGAGCTTAGTGATTCAGCACACAGAGCCCAGCACTCGACGTGTACTTCTTATTACGTATTATGTTCTGTTATAGCCGAGGTGATGTTTCATCTCACCTTCGGCGTTTATTGCGCGTGTCAATTGAAGTGGAAATTCGTGGCCGTGCCTTTGTACGCGAGTGACCCACTTTCGACACCATAAACAGCCCCATCAAATTTAGTCCCGGCTTTTTCGAGTTAAATGTTGTCGAGATTTCGGTTAAGTTTTGGTTTTTTAGCAACAAGGCCCGTTGCATTCCAGGGTTTACGACCATCTCCCTGACCGACGCCTGACAGAGAGCTCGTAAAAGATCAGATTTTATATCTTATTGTTCGCCTTTTGCGAAATCTAATTGAAGTCGGTAGGGTACGACTGTAGGAGCGTACGAGCCGTGAGCCCACCGCAGCATTTACGCGTTTTTAATTTTACTGCCCCGAGAGGCTGAATTATGTCCCTTCGAACGATAATGACGACCGGAGTAAGTTCGTTCATTACTTTTTATACCATATTAAAGGTTTAAATGGTTTGGGTGAAAATTTGCCTGTCGTTGATAATGTAGCGTCGCGCGCGCCGCTCACTCCACTCGACACTTCAATATCTGCAGATAATATAATTATATTATATCCGAGAAGGGCTTTAATCGGCTGTAACGACGACTTTTATACGTTCACAATAAGAACACAACGCAAATAATCGAGGCGTGTCTTCGACTCTATTTGTATCGAATAACTCGCTCCGGGACCCGTTTTGGAGGCTACCCACTCTTCCTATATTTTGCTAAGGAGTACTTCTTTGCGATTTATCGATATATCGTATGTAAATAATGGACGTAAATGGATTTAAACGTGCAGCTGTCTTTTTCGCATTGTTCGTCTTCAAGCACCTGTAACATTGTTTTAGGTCAATTGTAATTGGGCCAGAACTTAAACAATCGTGAAAGTTCACCGGTATTTAGAGAAAAAGCTATCAGTTGACGGATCAAACTATAAACTGATCCGTCAACTGATAGTCTGAATGAACGAATTGTTGAAATAGCTGTGATGAGACGTCAGCAAAACAATTTAAAGGACTCATAATATGGGGTCCATATCTATTGTGCGTAGATGCGTATTATAATTTAGTGTTAGAGCTCGTGTGTGAGTCACTTTATATTCTCTGTTCGTAGGTCTGCGTCACGCGCCTATCGGAAACGCTAACGGCCGGGACGCGTATTTAAATACACCGTTTCCAGCCCCACCTGACCTCTTACACCACATTGGTTCTTTCATATCGAACGCAACTTTTAACGTGTGAAGGTGAGACGGGAGGTCATTGCTAACTGGTGGCACTATAATGCCTACTTCTGACTCGCGTCTCGGTACCCGCGATATGTTATGTAAAGCAAAATATTTTTATATAGAAAGTAGGCAGCTCCTATGACTTACTTCGCATATTAATTAGTGAGGATGTTTGTGGATTAAAGTTGCCATATTAAATAATAGAATAATTCACGAATGGCGCCATAGGGTTTATTTATTTTCTTTTTTATGGAATATATGTATTTGCAAGAATGAAAGCTACCAGTAGAGCTGTCTAGCCGTGGTCTTTATTCAGGAGGAGCACAGAGCTTCGACACTGTTTTTTACTAATATAAACAGGATCTTTAGTGCCCAACCTAGCTAAGATCGGAGAGTTTTAAAAATTATGTGGTATCTTACACACAACAGAAGCGTAACTCAGTTCCAATCTTCTGTGTTATAGCTTCAGTAAGCCCAATTTTGACCATACACTCACGCCTCATTCCCGTCCAGGGTAGGCGGAGACGATAGAGTACCATTTGCCTCATCTTCACTTTACATATTCAGGTTTTATAACGCCTTGCTTACACTAATAAGGCCTTTACTTTAAAATTCGTAAATTGTGGCGTCATTAACTAATGTGTAATTGTTGATGTGTGTTTGTTTTCGCATGTTTGTAAACTCGGTTGTGTCGCGCGTCATTAGGTGCAATCGTTTACTCGAAACCAGTGGTTTTGTGTTTTTGCAACACATGATGCATTGTTCATCTGAATTTTTTGCATTTCTCTGGAGATTGCATCTTGCTTCTAAAATATGTAGTCTTAATTTGTTGACCGACTTCAAGAAAGGATTTAGTTCTAAATTCGGTTGTAATTTTTTAACGATTTGGATTTTTTGTTTCGATAGGTTTACTTGCCGTTTGGTCCCATTTAAATTTGAAGACAAAACAAAACCCCTAAGTGTGAACCCGTTATGTTTTAACCTACTTATATTTATTCTTGTCTTTGATAGAGGTTAAAATATAGCTGATACATAATACTTTTTGAGGCGACCGTAATTTTTTAAACTTTTAATAATTTTACCGTATTTATACCGTATAGTCTTAAGTTTTTTTTACATTGAAATGATTTAGCATAACAGCGATTTAATTATCGTATTTTTGTTTTCAGGTAAACATCACATCTATCCAGAATACCTACATATATGATATAGTATGTATACACATAATATGGTACTAAAATACGTCTACGTGGTAGTCCATAGGCCTTAATGTAGTGAGTTACATTAAACATTAATGACTTTATTACCCCAGTTCTGCGTTACTACTGGTGTACGTAGTTTTAAAAATTTTCACCACTAACTTGAACTACGAAATACAGATTAATCTAGGTGACTACGTGGGCTTTTTGACATTCATTTTTCACTTAATTTCCATAAACATCGGACAGTGTTAGCATTGCCATGGATTTTTGGACAAATTACGTTTATTTATTTTTTAAATTTCATGACACACAAGCATTATTTTATGAGCACCTGTTAGTAGTATGTTAACCATTTACCTGTTTCTTAAACAAAGTTCAGAATTAAAAGAAAATATAAGTATTTATGGTACACGGAATATTTATTTTTAGCAGTACTCGTATAGCATTGTGCTTAAAGTCCATTGTCACGGTGTCTGGACAATTAATTTGTTTATCAGCGTCATCTGCCGAGGTCGACTGCTTTCTTGTACATCTGCCGTATTACAAATAAAACCTGGCTTTTGTTGTCGTATTTACAATTGAAAAAATACAAAATAGCCTCAAAAACACTATGTTTAAAGTACTATTGGGACTATTGGAACTGGTAGGATAATTTATTGTATGTCGAAGCCTATAAAGAGATTCTATTCGCTACCCATTTCCAAGCAACTCTGGTCCTAGATTTTGTTTAGGTACTGTTATAGTATCGATCTAAGTGGCGTGCAATGGGAGAGGCCTATGTCCAGCAGTGGACTGCGATAGGCTGATGAAGATGACTGTTACAGTAAAATGTCTAAATGCCTTTGTATTTTGCATGATTTGTTCAATTGTCACACTGTTTTGTTGAGTCACTAATCAAATTATTATTCTATAATGCTTGTACTTTAAAAATAATTTATTCTTCTCTATCCTCTCTCAATTTTGCAATGTCTGGAAAAGGCTACTAAGTTGAGACAAATTATTTTTATTATTGTTGATCTACGTTAATACCCACACAAAATTATAGAATACATGAGATATTGGATAATTTTAATACTCATTCATATTACAGAATCACCATGTACAAATAACCTAACAGTCAGGAAAGTCTTAAATTCACCTTTGAAAAAGGCCTTACTGTCTGTCTGAATATGATTCACACGGCAGTCATCTCAAGTACGGATAGTGGTGCTCGCGTCAACGTCAATTCACAACGGCGTGTGGTCGCGCCATTTGGGCAGATTGAAGTGCATACACTGACCTAGGCCACGCGCGTCAAAGCACTTTCTTCTAAACTCAAAATGTAACCGTAACTATGAAGCGGACAATCGTTTCCGGCGCCCGTGACGTCATAAGCCGTCTCGCCGCACGCCGGTCGCCGCCCTACTACGTAACCTTGGCGGTGAGATGTGCTCGCTCGCGCGCTGAGGCTCGCTCTCCGCTCCATTCGCGGATACACCGCCCGCCTCGCCGTTTTCGCTTTCGTTTTCATTGTTCTTTTTTCAAATTATATTTATACTGTAACCCGCGATACACAACGCCGACTTGATAAAGAGTTCATCGATCTACAAATCCCAAAAACCGCAACGAGGTGCGTGTATCGAAAGCTGCTTTATATTCGGCCGGATACAGAAATTATACGTATCCAATACCACTTTGAGGAACAAGAGCAAAACCTCGGGTAATTTTTCACACGATCCACGAGCATAGTTGCCCTAAGCGCGGCGTGCCGGGGTGAGCGAACTCGCAACCTGTAATTTCGGACCGCAAAAGGAACAAAACGCATGGCGATCGGTGATTAAAAACCTTTGTCGGTTCTACTAATATTTATATTATTTTCGCAATGCGTCCGACATTGGCCGACATCTAATTGGTCGCTCGTATATTTGATGTAGGTACCATCGGCGCCGACCACCGACGCTTCATTAGTTTTCCTGGTAGAGAAATCATAAACTACTCTTTTTTTTTATGGTTAGCCGTTTATGTCAAAACGTGACCCCAACCGCCGTTGTCCACGGGTCGCCGACAAAGGACTTATGGAAAAATCCGTTTCCTTACTTAAACCTCACGACACCTCTATCACAATACGTTGTTAATGAACACTGCGATGACCTTAAAAATAATGACTAAATTATAAATGAGTGCAGGTGGTATAAGTAACTAGTTTCAACTGGCCAGTGGTACTCTCGATCGGCCCAAGGTCTGGGATATTGAACCTGGCTCGGAGCAACAGCACGACAAGGTTCGCCGCGAAAGAGACGGATGCACTATCACTCATTGTTATGGGGGAAATGTCGCGGCCACACGCGCTGCTGTTCCATTGATTTTCTTCAATGACTAACTAAACTTCCAAGTCCTAATCCGTTCGGTATGCGATGCAAAGCGGCTGCCGGCCGGAGCGATCCCGTAAGCATGAGGCGCACTTCCTTAAACAAAATAAGGTACGAGCGAGACGAGATATGTCGGGATTCTGCGCTCCCGTGCGTGCAACGGAGACGGATATACAATGACAAGTGCATTCGGTATTGCGACAGGGACGGCAAAAGTGCATTGCGCTGACGCATCACGATGGTCTATACACTTTCTTTCTTTTTTGTGGCCACTACCCCAGCTTTCGGTTTCGTTGTATTACGACGAAGAGAAGTTTGGCCGAATGTCGTTTATGCCAATATTAATCAACAGTGTCGTAATTAAATCCGCCGGTCCGACCGGTCGTCAGCTTGGCATTTATATGTTTCCCACGCGGTTGATGTCATTTTTATTATGAACAGCGGCCTTCGCAGCCGGTATTCCTGTAGGTACACCCGTTCCCGGCTCGGGGTCCACTGACCCAGTGGCAGTGGCCGGGTTCTGACCGACGGGAATGGATTTCGCTTCGTCAGCGTCTGAGCTCGTTCCGCACCGTCGACGCTCTCCACTTGAATGAATATCGTTCACAAACAACACTACACACAAACATGACTCGACCATCGAACAGGAAGCGTTTTAATAAGGGAGTTGATGCAAATCGAAGGTAAACGTGCTAAGCGTTCATTGGCATTATTAAAAATAAATAATATCGCTTTTGGAATGTTAGCCGGCGCGTCATCTCGCCCTCCCGCCGAGATCGCGTGAACTCTTTATCGGGCGGACACCTCCACTTACATGTAAGGAAGGAATCAACAAATACGCATTGTCAAATTTGAGTTACGAGTGCCAAGCAACTGGAACCGTCAGCAACCGCTACTGATAAACATTTTCGAGATTGTTACGCAATATCACACAGATACATTGTTCGATTACCACGTGTCGTGTTATCGCACATATCATCGCTCCTAATATGTAGTAGTAGTTCTCACGACGCCATAACCGAGTGCGTTCACACCCATAAACATCGTGCGCCGTATCGACCGAGAATTTCGATCGCACTGTTGAGTCGCTGCTTATTTACGCTTAGCAAACATTCGACGAGATAAGCCCTGAACGACATGCCTGTGCTTACCACATCTGTCGCGACCTTGGCTCCTACAGCCCATTGTGTAACCTCCTTATCAGTCACGCTCGCCTGGTACCTCCTGAGCGGCCCACCGGCAAATCTCACCGCGTTTTCCGTTCTAGATAAATGTGGGGGTTATCTGGCAGATGCAGTAAGGATAACACCAGAACACGTGTGTTTAGAATATATAAAAGTAGCTCTAAGTTATGAAACCATCTTTCACTATCGTTTAGTTTACGATCGTACTAATAAACTCGGACACGTGGGTCTGACAGCTCTCGTTAACATAATTACGGAGATTTCGGCCGCTCTGACCGGTTTTGGTGTCCCGATTCTTGTAAATTTTATCGTACACCTCTAAATCAATGTTTTGTTTTGGCGAAACCGAAAGTTACATTCGCATTATGCTTATAAGATTGAATGGTGATATCTATTGCTCAATGACACTAATATTTTTATATAAAATACGAGCAGAACTTTGATGTAGAATGTGTTGGTACTTTATTACGTACTGCTCTGAAAATGAAATCCTAAGCCGATTCACAGGTCAGTTGCTTATTAAGAAATTCTCAGTATCAGGTAGTCCCTTACAAATAAAATGAGACCTTAATATAACTGGACATTTATTCGCTATTAAATACGATTAAGGAACATGTTATAACACGCTTAGTTTTTTTTAAATGAAACACATTGAGAATACTTGTCCAATTTAAATTTGTGTCATTTATACTCGTAGCCTACGAACGGAAATGACAACAATGAACATGAATAATATCGCTAATATTTAATTTATTTTGGTTAACAGTAACATAATTATTAATGTACAGAGACATGTTCTTACCCCTCGAGGTTATAGCACGTTATAGTTGAGACTTAAACGATACGTTTTGTTGACATTAAAGTTATGAGTTTGGGAGGTCGGGTGTGTGCGGGTTGGAGGGGGTTTACATCAACGCGGTTCTTCCGTGAGCTTTTATTATTCCGGTTATAAATTAAACTGTACTCGTTAATCGGCCCTTTAATCCGTCTGGGCGTTGACTCCGCGCTGGCTCGCGAGCTCCACAATCAATGGTTCACTTATCTGTGGAACAAGGCGGCGCGACGAAAGTAGTAAAACCTAACTAATATAAGTCTTACACATGTTGTTTACGTGTGAAAAGCGCTCGACGGTGGTCCGCGGAGAGCGACTCATGGCCGAGGAATGTGGCCGCATCTCGGGACTCTTGCAACCTCCGGAGGATAGCGCTGCCTGCTTTTTTAGACCGAATGCCTATCGAGCCTTGTGTCTGTAAAGTTGATTATACTCAGAATAAACTCATAGGTCAATGGTAAGACGGTCATTTATCATGAATTCAATAGGCTTCTATTTGTGTCGCTGTGATCTACCTCTAACAGGAATTATTTATATTATCTTTGTTTTTAGTTGTTATTGACAACATCAATATTCCTTTCAATATTAGTTGATATTCGAGTAAGAAGTTGGCGTAAAAATTACGTCTAATCTTTCCCTTAGCAAATTTATAATAGTTAAATTTCTGTATCAAGTTCATGCTTAAAATACAAAACAAATACGTGAACGCACTTTTTTATTTAAAACTAACTGGTGCCTTCGTTCTGCCCTAGTTTTTATAGCCACCAGGCAAATTTTTATAGCCAAAGTTACTCCTTATATATACAGCTACCTGGTAGTAAAATATTATCAAAATCGGTCCAGCCGTTATGAAGATTACCTGGAACAAAAATATAGACAAACAAAAAATATTTTAACTAGTTTTTAGGCATAGGTATCGTGCAAATAAGCTTGTGAGCATGAAAATAACCAATTATTTTGACATTACAAACAGACACTTTAATTTCATTTATTTGTATAGTTAAATATCTTACCCATAAAAGAGACTGATACTAATTAGTATTTTATTGAGCCATTATTTTTAAACCATATTTTTATGATATGTTTAAAGCAGTTTGTATTTCTTGAATATCACTACCACACATATGGAGTTTAACGCGAATTGTTTTTTTTGCCTTTAAGTCGGTACATGAAGTACTTTTATTGGGATATTAAAGTTTTTTAACTCTTAAATAATTCATCATGAAGGACAATTATGCAAAATAAATTATTGTTAAAGACGTATAGAGTAGACACAAATATTTAAAGGTTATAACAAAGTAAATGTCATCTTATTGTATTTACAGCTTTTAATACTTAAAAAAAAAGTTTTGGTAGAATTTGCTTTTTTATGTGTTTATTATAACATTCAGTTCGAATAGTACTTTTGCTAGAGAAACGCAAGGTCAAGCCAGAACAGGGTTTACTTTCGAACACTAGCAAACAACATACACATAATTTATTATATTTTTTATCTTTTTGAGTAGCAATGGGCAATACATACCTATTACGGGTCAATCAAAATATATCCTGATTTAAAAGCGACTTATATATAAGTATCTTATAACCAATAAAAGTAGAGTAAAAATCGTTTCTGCCGTTCTAAAATTATACAGATAGATAAAAAGAAAATAAAAAAGGCATGTTTCAAACCTATGGAAAAAACCAGAGCCTAATTTTTTTTTAACTATAAATTCATATTGTCTGTGACTGTAGGTTAAGAAAATATCACTTCTACAGGAAAAGGGAAGCCGCTGAGGTGCCTTTTTTCTGTTGACGGGGTGGAATATCCCTTTGGATCTCCGGCTTGTCTTGAACACAGAAGCCAGGAGTATATGGTGTGTGTTTCACTAAAAACCACCCCGACAGCCGATCTCACGCTCCCTACTCTGGGAGGACCCGGACCATGTTATTAAAGGTCTTCCCCGGATCGAAGCCATGCCCTATGTCGCTAATATTTCTTCTTTCTTTCTTTTAAAAAAGACAACTCCCGCATTAGGAATATAATATCCTGTGTTTGTGTGTTTGTTGTGTATGTTATCCATTAACAATTTGTGGATCACACAAAGTGTCGTCCCATGTGGGGATCGAACCCACAACACTCAGCGTAGTAGTGAGCGGCGAGGCGATCGCTTAAACCACTACGCCATCCGTGCAGTCCTACTGGATATCTACGTGAGATAATTCGATACGAAGGATTTTTTTCCAAACGTTATTGTTAGCCTCGAATGATACACAGTTTGAATATTTAGTTATATCCGCTGACTTCACCGCTTATAAAAAATTGCGAATAATTAGTCAATAAAAATTCCGTCGATTATATACGTATAGTTGTTACACGGGTGTTACGTAATTGGAGTAAATGACCTAACAGACTGTGGTTTGGACGAAGGTCTTAGAGACCACGTGGTGACCGTGTGAGCTGATCATCCTTCTTTCCACATGTGTATTGACTTAACGGCCAAGATGAGTTAACGCAGCCTCCGCTGAAAAATACAGGATTGCTTTTGATAACCGAAGAGAATATAATTATTACTATTGAGGTGGCAAACAAGCGTTCAAATAAAGACCACGTGCGTCCGTATAAAACATCTAAAAAATTATTAGGTACTTCAGTGTAAAGTCGCGTCTAGCTGTTTCCGTGTCAACTGGTTTTACGACAAAAAAAAATCACATGAACCAAAGGACTCATTACTTAAATTTATTATCTTCTTCAATCCAATTCATAAACTCTGTTATAAACTCAAGATATTCAAGAACCATTACGTTACACAAATTCACTCAAAACTTCGGCATGCGTAAACAATAACAAAGCTAGTCCATAATCCGTCGATATAGAATACCGCTGTAATCATTGCGTTGGAAGTACGTATTGTATAATTTCGGGTGTGTACTCCGCGGGCAATGCACGGCGCCCTTGACCGAAGCGTCGCGGCGGCGTACACGATGAGACGGAGTAAACAAATTGAATGAATCGCGTACGCTCGTACATGCCGTATGTAAGTACCTACCATTCATGTACGCTGTAAACGCACGATAATTCTACTGGCCGTGTGTATTACTAACAAGATTACGTGCGGTCAATTACTAAAGTAGCTGAACATTCGTATTCTACTATTTTGCTATGAAAGTTCATGCAAAGCACGATATACATTAGAAGCAATTTTAGATTAATTATTAAAGATTTCTGTTAGATTAGAAGTCGTTTTCGAAACAGAAAGAATTAAAGTTTGACCGCAAATTTCTCAGTGTATTTGTTAAAAGAATGGTAGGTTTTCCTAACTTTAGGAGTACAAAAGGGATATTAACTAGGTACCTAGGAAGTAGTCGCACCAAGACCTTCGACATCTCCGCGAAATACGCCTGGTGACCGCCAAAAAACCACTGCCGAAGGGTTCGCTTCGTCCCAAAATTTTGCTAAATGAAAAACACTAAATATTAACATCGAAAAGAAGGTGTAATACCTTTTAATGGTTTTCTTATTTAAACACAGAAATTCCTAAAAATCCCCGATAATACTACCTTACAGTTTAAACAATTAGATCCAAAGTTCGTGATAAATATGGATCGATTGTATCGGTACCGACTTATATAAACAAACTACAT